TGCAATTAATCGGACAATAATCAAAATTTTATCAATTCCTTTGGTGGGGCATTTTTATGCCCCCGTAAAGTAAGTTTCGGGGGTATCTTGTTTTTGTCGTGTCCGTCTGTCTGTCTAGATGTCTGTTTGTCTCTCTGTTTGTCTGTTTGTCCGCAAAAACTTAAACCTTGTCCATAACTTTTGATTTAGTGGAGCCATGACTTTCATATTTCACATGTGCATTCCTTGTGACAAGACCTTTTTTTATGTACCTCCAAATTTTACTTTTTGACCTTGGAGATTTCAGTGCTTATGAAAAATCTTTAAGCCATAACTTTTGAACAATAAAGGATAGGGCTTTCATACTTCTTACATGTAATCCTTGTGAAAAGTCCCTCCATTGGATATTAAGAATTTTTACCCTTTGATCTTGACCTTTGAGTTTGACCTTCTTTAAAAAAGCAAACCTTGACATAACTTTTTATAGAGTAAGGCTAGAGCTTTCATATGTTATATAATAAATTCTTGAGACAAGACCTTTCATTTGATAACAAGAACTTTGACCTTGACCTTGAAGTTTGACCTACTTTTAAAAAAACCTTGGCAATAACCTCCGAACGGCAAGGGCTAGGGCTTACATACTCTACATAAGTACTCTATGTGGCAGGACCTTCCATTGGATACATATTAACTTGACCTCTTGACCTTGACCTTGGAGATTTTTGTACTTATTGAAAAAACTTAAACATTGGCCTACTTTCAAATTTCATAATTGTTTTCCAACGAGAATACCCTACTTTTGGTACCAATTAATTAATTTGGATTTAAGAAAAATTTAATCTTTACTATGTTGCCATACGGGGGCATCAGTGTTTCACAAACACATCTTGTTATTTCATAACATCGTCAAAATGCTATTATAAATAGAAATATCGTACCATTCATTTATTAGGTTAAAAATATGCTCGTTATACATTGAATACCTTAATTTTTGAAATCACCTTTTGAAATGAGACATAGAACTCGAAAGTCTGGTACTTAGCGATAAGGAATTCCACTCATTTATTAAAGTTAGTAGAAATGATGATTTTTAAGTTTTCAATTTACATGCAGGTATGCTATAATTTTGTGAGTTTCACAATTTCAGTTTCATATAACATTATATGAGCTGAACATATTTAGTTTATATTAATGACCCAGAGGAATTTATTGTCATTAATTTAACAAAATGAATATTAAATAATTTTAAATGATACCATAGGCATACACTTTTATTAACAAATGCAGGATAAACTTGATACATGTGCATAAATGTATGAATGTGTCAGATTATGTACTATAAAAAATAATTTAATTTATTAATAAGTTTATATTTTAACAATTATGAAAATTTTTACACTTTTGCCATCATGGGTGCAATTGATACATTCATACATATACACTGTAGGGCAGAAACTCACTTGGCAGAATAAGCATAATATTGTAGAGTTTAGATGCTTGTTTTATTTGTCCAAAATTCAGACATGTAATGTTAATTGATATTTATCTTTTTAAAAAATGCTGGCAGTGCCATGTGGGTCTAGGGGAGAGTTTTGAAATGCTGAACATGATATATCATTAGCGGGTTTAAAGTAGATCTAGAGAAATTCTTATTTCAACTTTGTTTTTGATTTCATTTTTCATTGGTAATAATAAAAAACATAAATACACATTACATTATATTAAATTTACCAGACGTCTAAGTAAATGTTTTCCATTTGTTTAAATACTGAGGCCCACAACAAACAATGATTTGTTTGATGTTCTCCGACCGACCCGTCGAAATTGTCCCTACCCAATCATTTTTTTCCAGCACTTTAAATTTTAATTTTTTCAAGTTTTCGTATAGTAAAATTTCTGCAGGACGCTTTTTGAAATTTTTTAGCAATAAATATTAAATCTGTGAAGTTATCTGGTATGTTATAGATAAACACATCAATAAATTTCTGAGTCTGTGATTTTTTTTGTTAGCTATCATTTTATCCAATACTTTAAAACAAAAAAAAATTGTTTACTTACCTACCCACCTTGAAAAATGTGGGTGGGAGTACATCATGAGAGAATCAGTTAAATACACTTATAAACATTCTTCCCCAGATCTTACACTGGCAAAGTTATCACAAGTACAATTTTAATTGTTACCTGATTATAAGAATAAAATTTGTTTTTAAAGTTTATGTAATGTGTTTTTGTACTCAGTATGTACATTGTCTTAATGAAAAAATATATAAATAAAATCGAAATATGCATGCTATTCTCATTTATTTTCAAGGCAAATTAAATTCGAATGCTGTTTATACAAATATGCGTACATGTAGCTCAATGTGATCACCATTCAAAATCTGAAATATTCACATAGATGGGTCTCACATAAGAAAGTCTGAATCTTTAAAAAAAAAAAAAAAAAAAAAAAAAAAAAAAAAAAAACATATAAATGCAGATCTTTTAAGCCCGATTTTTAGCCTGTTGGCATGTTTAAATAACTTTTGAGCAGCAGGTTCACAGTCTTTCATGTAGATATTTCAAGTTTGGTTTAGTCATAGTCCCTCCTGATTGATGGGGCAATAGGGCCTCCTCTGGACCAACTGGCTAATATATTGCCCTTCTCTAAACTTTTTTATATGCATCCTGGTAAATAGATTTTGAACATTCAAAGCATTAATTTTGAAATTTTCTGGTAAAAAGAATTTTCTTACCAACCTACCGACCAGTTTTTAAGTGTTTTTTTTTTTTTTTTTTTTTTTTTTTTTTTTTACATTCTGAGTCAGGATAGGGCAATATTTTAATGTTGGCCGAAAGGTTTTTTTTATGCTACGTGAGAAAATCTTTAAAAGTTATCTTTTGAACACTTGAAGTACTCAACCTAGTTGTCTTATGTGAGTATTATATATATATATATATATATATATATATATATATATATATATATATATATATATATATATATATATATATATATATATATATATATATATATAGCAAATGGATTATATGTTCATGATGAAATTCATGACAGAAGTTCGAAAATTGCCTGAAATAAAATGCTGGTCTCAAAATGCACTGTATTTGTCTTTCAAGATGCAACTTATAATCTAAAATCTGTCCGAGTAACTTTTGTTAATAAGAAAATAAAATGTGATGGCACATTAAATTGAGTTTATTTAGGGGAGGACCATAAAACAGACTGAGGGACTGGGGATGGGGGCTGTAAGACTTTGGAAATGAATATACATCTCAAAAAAAAAAAAAAAAAAAAAAAAAAAAAAAAGATTTTTTTTTTCAATTTCATTGAACTGGCAAGAAATATTTTATAGTTGCCTGTTGTTATATATGTATAGCCTGACCCTACCCATAAATCACCACAAACCCTGCAAAATTGAATTGTTTTCACTTTATTTAAGAAATATTCATTTTATTATTTTATTCATTTATTTATTAATTATTTATTTTTGCTTGTCTCTTTATTTCCAATAAAACATAATTAACCTGTCCCTGAATATATTAGAAGTCGTTAGATGATTAACCTCCTTCAACCCCCCCCCCCCCTTAGAAATACAGAGTTGATTAAGTTAGGTGTAGGCCCTAAAATTAATCCCCCCAAAATACCCATGATCGTTGATTCAGATAGGTGTAGGCCCTATCACCCCACCCCTAAATCATCATAAATCACCGTTGTTTTCACCTTATTTATTTTTTTCATAATTTATAAATTTATTTATCATTTATTTTGTTTCGTTTCTGGACTTAAAATGACCCCCCCCTCACCCCCCTAAAAAAACAGAGTTGATTCAAATAGGCGTGGATACTATTTAATAGCGAGCGGCGCGAAGCGCCGCTCGTCACTGCGAGCTCTAACGACAACGCCTGGGCGAAGAGAAAATTCGGACTACTGCACATTCATTCAATAGAATTTTTTTCCGCAGTAATTCTGACCCACAATGCATCGCTTCTTGTTCTCGCTGCTAACTTCGTTCACGCGGTGACAACAACTAAAATTTCACAAAAAATAAACTCACCTTAATTAATGGCTATTGCATGCAGATAGTAGATTAATTAAACGTTCTTTGTTAAAATATTTGCACTTTTTAAACTTTGTTTATGGAAATGCAGCTAACATACGACGTCATGTGACGTCACAGTCTAGACGTTCCAAATGTCTCGTGCGGTTTGAAGAGGCGGATCTTAAAATGAAGTGAACAATGCGCTCGCCCCAACGGTCGCACCGTCAACATATTAATAAAATACAAGTGCATTTTTTTTAGTTATTTCGGCATTTATATTTATATAAACATGTTTTATAAATCGGAAGTACTTGAGTTACACACTGGTTTTTAGAATAAATTTCGCGCATGCGCTTCTTGAATGCGGGTGGTTACGTTCCGATGACTTGTTCGACCCGCGTGGTTTCGACACGAATCCATGTTCGACCCGAGTGGTTTCGTTCCAAAGCAATTAATTAACAATTAATTGCTTCGGAACGAAATTAATTAACACTTTCAAAAGTTTTACATTTTATTTTTTTGTCTACATTTTTTTTTATATTGACCACGTTTTTCCATATTTGTGTTAATTATCGTACGTAATCTAATTTGGAGAAACGTACATTGTTTAGACAGTGCATATGTGATCACGGTATTTTTGAAGAAGTATTTGATTAATTTTTATGGAAAACTGTTCAAATATAATTCATTACTAAATCAAATTTATCAACATTCATGCTCCGCGATAGTAGAAAAAAAAATGTTAGGAAACCTGCATGTTGACTACACATACTGTACGGAAACAACTACCTATTGACACGCACATCTCTGAAGCCATATAATATACAACTACCGGATATCCATTTGTTTACCGCACAGTGTATACCCCTGTACTTAGGTATTGACACGTAGGGATATATATTAGGGTAGGTCGAAACCACTTGGGTCGTAACCACGCGGGTCGAACACGGAATCGGAACGTAACCACCCGACACCCGCTTCTTTACTTCCGGAGTGAACGTGTGGCGTGGTTTTGGGGGAACAAAACATGGAGAAGAAAGATGAGACACCATCTCCTCCATTGCGGAATAAAATATGATGAAAAACGATTCTTCAGCAAGCGATTTTTCTCATTCAAGTTCGCAGGGAAGCTCAGACGAAAATGAGTTTCCCACTAGTACGAGTTCATGGCCCATTAGTTTCATCGATAAATTTGGAATTCGAAAAGTGATGAAAAATCCCTTTGAAATTGTGCGTACACTTTGGGGATTATGTATTTTGACAGACTCTGAAGTATTTAGAATTGATGAAATTGTGAAAGTATGCAATTTACAATATATCGATTGCGATTCTTTGGAGGAGATACCATATTATGATTCCACACCTTACGAAGAGTGGGTAAAGGAGAAGTTTCCACAGATGTCAGTCAAAGAGCTTAAATTGTAAGTTGGTAGTATTGAAATGAAAGATAAGGAAAGCAATTTCTCAATAACATTATGATTAACAGGGCACAGGTCCAGTACACTCACTACAGGTACATTCAGCTACGTAGATAGAATGTTCTATCGTTAAAATGATATTGTCCTACGGACCCGGTTTAACGATAGAATTCGTTCCGTGTATTCGTAATGTAGCAAAAGAAATAACTTGCATAGTGCATTTACTAGGAACAATCTAGAGAGTTCCGAATGTAAACATGGCAGGTAATTTGAATCGAGAGAAAAACGTTGAGAAAATTAATTGGATTTTCGTAGTTCTATGGATTATTTTTTGGGATAAAAGGCACAAGCAGACTTGTCAAAATCTGTCGGTCCTGTCGGCAAGGCCGGTAAAAATTTGTCTGGACCGATAACATTTAAAAAAACGTCGGTCCAGATGACCGTTTGAAAAAAATGAGCGTAATGCAAATTTAATAAAGGTCGGGATCGGGATGCGTAGTTCAAGGTCACAAACACAGAAAAGAATGGCCGCATATGCAGCATGTTGACGCTAGCTAAGTAAATTTGTTATAGCAAAGTCATACAACTTGTCAATTATGTCTATGTTAATGACTCTCTATTTCAAGAGAGGAAACTTGTTAGTTTGAAGGCTATTGAAGATAATCAAGGACATTTTGGTGCTGTTATTCATATGATTTTACCACCTTCAAAATAACGTACAAGTATCTGGTCTGACAAAAGTTGGACTGGTCCGACAAAACATACGACTGTGTCAGACCAAATGTCTGACAGCGATTAAGAAATTTCGACAAGTCTGCACAAGCAATCTCAAAAAGGTTTGTTTTAATTATTTTGATAGTTTTTCCCAGTGCAAATCATTTTATATTCTTCAAAATCGTTTCGGAGCGGATCCGCTCCGATTTGCTACATTGCAGGTATATGGGACGTATTCTAACTCAGTGTTTTTTTTCTGTACTTTGGGACTGGGGGCTGGGGCCCTTAGAATTGGGAATTTCAGCGTCAATTTGGCTAAATTGGGAATCTCTAAGAAAACCCAGTCACTTAAAAAACATTGTCAAAAAGCATTGTTTTTGTCTTTGTATGACTTTAACAATTAAGCAATTGTTTTAATAAATCAAGACTATTCTTGGTATGAGTTATCTATAATTACTTGCATCAAGAACAATAGTGGTATGAATTATCTAATTATGAAGAAATCCAACATGGCTGAACAACAAAACCTGCTTGAACTTCACTGAAAAACATGCAATAAACAAACTGAATTTGTTTAAATATTTTGTAAGTTTTTCTTGGGGAAAACTTCCACAACATTTTGGGAAAAAACAGGCATATTTTCAATTGGGACTGGGGACGAATTTCGCCCCAAATTGGCCCTAAAAAAAATCACTGTAACTGTGGTGAGGGCTTGTACCCAGACACAGTTAGATTATTCTAACTATCAGCTATGCAGCTCTTGATGCCAATTAAAGGCGAAACGATTACACGTGTAAACGGCGACATTTCGATTAAGTGCTCTAAACTAGTGTTGAATAATCGGGAAAATTTCATAATCGATAATCGATCGAAATCGGAGAAGCTTAATCGATCAATCATCGACTTAATTAGTAATTCAAATTTCAAATACAAAATTCTATTTCTTTACAGCATTTATCATTATGGAACAAACTAAAAATAAAATTTTATCAAGTTTATTCTAAAGACAATTTTTTTGTTGTATAAGTAACAAAGAAACAGAATTTTTTTTTTACGTATTTGCTCATAAAACTAAAAATGTTTGTCATGACATCAGATTTTGCATTCCCTAGTTAGAAAAACCTAACTGTGTCTCGGTACAAGCCCTCACCACAGAGCGATTACGCTCCGACACAATTTTGAAGAATATAAAAGGATTTGCACTGGAAATAACTTCCAAATAAATCAAAACAATTCTTTTGGAGATTGCTTATGCATTTTATCCAAAAAAATTATCCATATAAAGACGAAAATCAAATGAATGTTCTCAACGTTTTTCTCTCGCTTCAAATTTACCTGCCATGTTTACATTCGGAACTCTCTAGATTGTCCATAGTAAATGCACTGAGTATGATTTATTGCCCATGTTTCTTTTGCTACATTACGAAAACACGGAACGAATTCTATCGTTAAACTGGGTCCGTAGGAAAATATCATTTTAACGATAGAATGTTCTATCTATGCATTCCCTGGATATGGGTAAATTTCTACTTGATTGTTGTTAACTTCGCCTTCGGACGCCATTTTTGTTGACCTCCTTTCGTTTTACGTGTATTGTTAATTTGCACGTGTATTAGTTTCGTTCAAAATCATACAAGTTTATTTGGGCGAGTTTATTTGGGGGACAATCGATTATGAACAACGTAATCGATAATCGGAATCGAACACCCAAAAACGATCGACAATCGATCGTCGGCGACAATCGTTTCATCACTACTCTAAACAATTACAAATTGAGTAAACGTTTACATGAAGGCTAGTATCAATGTCTATAAAAAAACCTGTCATCCAAACAAGTTGTTTTATTTCATATTTACCTGTGCAAAGAAAACACACTCTGTGTCTGTTAACTTTTTTATACACCCATCTATGTTATAGGCTTCGTGTCCGTCTGTCTGTCTGTTAGCTTTTCGTTTCCGGCTCGACATAACTTAAATACTATTAGGCCTAGGATTATCAAACTATGTCATCTGATGCATCTTGGGTAGAAGGTGTGTCGCGCACAAAAAGTAGGTTGCTCTGACCTTTAATTAAGAAGATATAGCCAAATATGGAAAAATCCTTTCCGGCCCATAACTAGAAAACTATAAGACTTGCAATCATCAAACTTGGCCAGTTTATGCATCTTAGGTAGAAGGTGTGTCGCCCCTGTCGTGACCTATTTCAAGATCACTGTGACCTTTGATTTAAATGAAATTTTTTTTTTTTAAAAAAGTGTCTTTTTAGCTCACCTGAGCCGAAGGCTTAAGTGAGCTTTTCTGATCAAAATTTGTCCGTTGTCTGTCGTCGTTGTCGACGTCGGCATTGTAGACTTTTCACATTTTCATCTTCTTCTCAAGAACCAATGGGCCAATTTCAACCAAACTTGGCACAAAGTATCCTTGGGTGAAGGGGATTCAAGTTTGTAAAAATGAAGGGCCACGTCCTCTTCCAAGGGGAGATAATTATGAATAAGTGAAAAATTAGTGGCATTTTTAAAAAATCTTCTTCTCAAGAACCACTGGGTCAGGAAAGATGAAACTCATGTGGAGTCATCCTTAGGTAGTGTAGATACAAGTTTGTTCAAATCATGACCCCTGGGGGTAGGATGGGGCTAAAATGGCCAACCAAAGTTTTACATAGGAATATATAGGAAAAATGTTTAAAAATCTTCTTCTCAAGAACCAATGGGCCAGGAAAGATGAAACTCATGTGGAATCATCCTCAGGTAGTGTAGATTGAAATTTGTTCAAATCATGACCCCCGGGGCTAGGGTGGGGCCAAAATGGCCGACCAAAGTTTTACATAAATAGGAAAAATCTTTGAATATCTTCAACTGAAGAACCACTGGGCCAGGGAAGATGACACTTAAATGAAATCATCCTCAGATAGTGTAGATTTAAGTTTGTTCAAATCATGACTCCCGGGGCTAGGGTGGGGCCAAAATGGCAGACCAAATTTTACATAGGACTATATAGGAAAAATCTTTTAAAATCTTCTCAAGAACCACTATGCCAGGAAAGATGAAACTTATGTGGAATCATCCTCAGTTAGTGTAGATTCAAGATTGTTCAAATCATGACCCCTGGGGCTAGGGTGGGCTCAAAATGACCGACCAAAGTTTTACATAGGGATATATAGGGAGACCTTTTAAAATCTACTTTTCGAATACTTCAAAGCCCTGATTAGTGATATTTGTATGGAAGCATCCTCAGGTAGTGTAGATTCTAGTTTGTTCAAGTCATGACCCCCTGGGGGTTAAAATTCAAGCCCACCCCCCACCTGACCCCAACCTCGGTAAACTTTTTAAGTTCTGATCTGATATATGCTTTTTCTTAGCCAATGTGCTCAGGTGAGCGATGTGGCCCCTGGGCCTCTTGTTACAATTCATTTACACATCCCAAGTAATGTAAGAGTATTGCACTGTCCTTATTAAAAAAGTGTTAAATCAGGGCTCTCACACCCATTTTTGGTACTGGGGCCGGGGCCAATGGATTTGGGAAAAAAGCGATGTTTTCACAAAAATTGGGAATATTTGACCAGACATAATTTTAACACTTAAAACAAGAAAAATCAAATAAACACAGAGTAATAAATTATAGAAACTGAAAAAAATTATCATTATTGTCTTAGTTGAAATCTTTTTTCTATACAGTACTGCATGCAGGGATCGAAATTATCTTTTTAGACCATTAACAAATTTCAGCTAGTGGGTTCATTTTTACTAGCAAATAGTAATATTGAACTTTTTCTGGCATTTTTTTTTCTTCTCATAGAAGTTAACATAAGAATTATTTAAATTATTAAAAAAAATACTTTACCTCGATCTTGTAAGCATTTAGGTCATTATATAAAAGATGAAATCTGAACAGATAAATACACTGGAAATATATTTTTTTGGAAATCACATACTAGTAAAACTTTTCCACTTGTTGAATAAGTGATCATAAATAATTAAATGGGATATCATGTATTTACCATAAACAAAATGTAGGAAATTCGGATTTGGAAAAAACGATCGTTTTTGGAAGTAAGTAAGTCGGGTAGTGCTGCAAAATGGGTAAGGTTGTAGAGATTTATGAACTGTAGGATCATGGTACCTAATATTTTTTCATTGTTTGCAAATTTAGTAGCAAAACAGTGAATAAAAATACCTGTAATGCTTTTCATTGGTAATTGGGTAAGACCTTTTTTTTTAACCTGCAAAAGGTGGCGACCACTGGTCGCGTTTAACGCGCAATTTCTGTTTTTAATTCAGGTTTAGTGAGTATTTTCTGTTTATGTCGAGCCCTGACACGATAGTACTCGATATAATGTGACATGTTGTGAATAAACAAGAGAATTTGTACAGGTTTTAATACCAAACTGGTTCCAGCAAAATACGAACTACCAGTTTACAACACGAAATTTATCTTCATATCTTCACAGTGCTTTTACGACTGTTAAAGCTACACTTTTTATTTTTTTTTTGTAGTAATAAATGTCAAGCAATCATACATTGGGAATTTTTACAATCAAATTTGGGAAAAAAATGTGCCCTTTTCACGTTGGGAACGGGGCCGAATATCGGCCCCAATTTAAGAGAATCGAGAGCCCTGTAAATCAAGAAAATACTTATTTTTTAAGCATTTACTTGACAGCAATCCATAACAAATATTATGCATGTTAGAGAAATCCTACCTCTCCCATGAGTGTAATTATCAAGCACTGGTCAAGACTCAAGAAAAATTTTGATAACAGAAAATTGAATGTCAAATTAAAGAGAAATTAATGAGTTTTGAGTGTGAGGAGTTCGCAGATAGCTAGAGCATAGTGTTATCTATATCCCTTGAGTATTGGGCAAATGGGTGAGCCTGTTGGATTAAAAATAGTTCTTGTTGGCCATCACAGTTGGCTAGCCTAAGTTTTAAAATAAATTTGATGAAAAGTCATTAAAACTAATTTGATATTGCATTGTAGACTAATCTTATATTATATAAAATTGTTTATTTATAAAAACTAATTTTATGGGATGGGGTGGAATAAGCATGTCCATATGAATTTTATATTAAAACCTGTCAGACATTAAATCTCAACCAAAAAAAAAAATCTTTGAGTATTTTATATGATTTAAAAAAAAAATTATGGTAGATAGTGCAGACCCATTCATCTATTGGTATATTAATGAGTAGACAAGCATCCAGTTAAAGATTAATTAATGAGCAGGTCCAGCACAATACCCCGATAAAGGTATATAGCTTGATAAAGCTATATAGCTTTATCAAGGTATTTAAAATTCCTTGATCAAGGTATTTTATGTAATGAAAATTCAAAAAAATTCTTTAAAAATTAATTACTTAAAGTCGAGTTCTGAGTTTTTGTCAGTGTGTCTACTCGTGCTTGAAAAACACTCTGGTATCAAAAAGAAGGCATAAAATAACGTCTCCTCACACGACACGTTTTTCTACTGATTTGTTTGTGTTTGAGTACTTTACATGCATGGGTGAATTTACTGACAAAAACTCGGAACTCAATCACTCTGATCAAGCTGTATGCTGACCTTTGGGAATTAGACAGAGGAACTGTTGGTTAGTTTATAGCATATGTCAGTTTATGGCCAGTCTTTTCTTTTCAAAATTAATTTGGTATAGATTAAGTTGTTAAGACTAATTTGATATTGTTTAATAAGATGGGCATTTGACAAGGTCTAACACAACCAGCATAGAAATCCATCAATGATGTAATATTTCTTATAATTAATGTCTACATCACAGGGGATGGATAAATATTTTTAGGAATGGAAAAATCATGAAAAAATCATTAAAAAAATCATGGACATCTTAGAATCAGGGTTGACGAGATTGCAAGCTAAACTGTTCAAGAAAGTTGTAATTTTTTGACGGGCGTATCATGCTGTGGCGCTGCACTTTATTTTTCTATTGTAATCCATACCGGAAACGTAATATTACACAAAACTATCTAGAAACCAATATTGTCTAATATTTTTAATTTCGATTTCCAAGTAGTGAAAACTATAGCTGCAGATCTGTAGCTCTCCGAAAAATATATTGATAGACCGGAGAGCTACAGTGCCACCCATTGAAAAAACTGTATATTTATTGTGCACAAAAAAGTGCGCTCGGTTTTCGATTTATTTCTCCATGATTTTAAACTGTGATCTCAAAACATTACTAACCGTGTGTTCCTAACATATTCTTTCACTGTTTCCACAACCAAACATTCCTCATAATTGTTGTTAATAGTCATCCTGACCCTGATATTGTAATCATGGAACATTTCGCTTATTTATACTGCCATTTTGGTTTCAAAGATAATTCAGTCCAATATGCTTCTTTCGGATGTCAACTACAAGAGTACTTGATAGAGGAGAAAGGAATGTTTAAAATCTTTCCTTTTTGCAACTGAGGTAAGAATTTGGAAGAATTAATCAAGAACCGAGCGCACTTTTTTGTGCGCAATAAACATACAGTTTCTTCAATGGGTGGCACTGTAGCTCTCCGGTGTTATCAATATATTTTTCGGAGAGCTACAGATCTACAGCTATGAAAAAAGTGATGTATTATTCTGTTTTTCCAAGTTATGTTCTTAAATAAATAACCTTTGTTGTTGCTTTTTAGCTCACCTGAGCCGAAGAGCTTTTCTGATCACATTTTGTCCGTCGTCCGTCCGTCTGTCTGTCTGTCTGTCTAGCTGTCCGTCTGTCTAGCTGTCTGTCCGTCTGTAAACTTTTCACATTTTCGACTTCTTCTCAAGAACCAATGGGTCAATTTCAACTAAACTTGGTACAAAGCATCCTTGGGTGAAGGGGAGTTTAAATTGTAAAAATGAAGGGCCAGGTCCCCTTTCAAGGGGAGATAATCAAGAAAAGACAAAAATAGGGTGGGGTCACTAAAAATATCTTCTTCTTAAGAACCACTGGGCCAGGAAAGCTGAAACTTATGTGGAAGCATCCTCGGGTAGTGTAAATATTAAATTGTTAAAATCATGACCCCCGAGGGTAGGGCGGGGCCACAGGCCCTCCTTAAAAACTTTGTTTGTTTGGAATTGCCACCTGAAGGGTTTCAGACACAGGAGGGAGGGAATTTTTTTTTTAATTGAAGATAAATTTTAATTTTTTGATAAAAATCTCAGTAAACAGTAAATACATTTTCTGACTTTTAAAGTATTAAGTATTTACCATCAACAGAAAAGTCCTAATTTTACATAGATCTGACACTATATTTCTGTGTTTTGTATAGTGCATGTGATACATGTAATGGGCAAAAAAATCTATTAAATTAAAAAAAAAAATCTTCCTACTTTTGGTCAGTAAAATTTTTTCAGGAGGGGCCATTTCAATGAGGCGGGAGGCAATTGCAAACAAACTATAATTTTATTTTGGCCCAATAGGGAATCGTAAGTTTTACATAGAAATATATAGAACAAATCTTTAAAAGTCTTCTTCTCAAGAACCACTGGGCCAGGATAGCTGAAACTTATGTGGAAGCATCCTTGGGTAGTGAAGATATTAAATTGTAAAAATCATGACCCCGGGGGTTAGGGTGGGGCCACAATAGGGAATCCAATTTCTACATAAAAATATATAGAACAAATCTTTAAAAATCTTCTACTCAAGAACCATTGGGCCAGGAAAGCTGAAACTTATGTGGAAGCATCCTTAGGTAGTGTAAATATTAAATTGTTCAAATCATGACCCCCGGGGGTGGGGGGGCACAATAGGGAATCCAATTTTTACATAGAAATATATAGAACAAATCTTTAAAAATCTTCTCCTCAAGAACCACTGGGCAAGGAAAGCTGAAACTTATATGGAAGCATACTGGGGTAGTGTAGATATTAAATTGTTAAAATCATTACCCCCGGGGGTAGGGCGGGGCCACAATAGGGAATTCCAAGTTTTACATAGAAATATATAGAACAAATCTTTTAAAATCTTTTTCACAAGAACCACTGGTTGACAAGATTAACCAAACAAGTCCATACGCTGACCGATACATGATTAACTGAGTACATTTCAACTGAGTGTTTGTTAGCATGTTTACTGTGGGCATTTACCTATAACGACGCAAATCCACATGGCTTGTTGTGATTCGAAACAGGTCATAGAGGTTAATCACATGTAAATGAAGACAGCGACGAGGTTCAAAATCACAATACTTTTAATTAGAATACATATAGCACAATGTTGTTCAACAAAGATATTTTTACTCAACCTTTATACATATAATATACACTGTGACATTATATATCAAACTCGACTCTGAACAAATCTGTGCTTGGTGTTTACGAAAGCTTTAAGTGAGTACCTGTCAGTGATTTCTTTTGATATTCATGAAAATCAAAGGACCCAAACTTCAAAACGCAGCTTTGTATGCAGTGTATATCTATTATTTGACATTTTTAGATGAAGATTCAAATAATAAAGACATTAGTTATTAATAACATTTAATTTTTAAAGCCTTTGATAAATGTTCGAAATTTGACGAGTGACCGGGGACCACAGATAAGCCGTATATGAGACTTGTCCTTTCGATTATAATCGATTATGCCCAGCCGATTATTACCGATAATCGATTATGATTTTTTTCCGATTCCCCATCACTGACTGTTAAACCAATTGCAACTAATTTTGATAGTAGTGAAATTTACAGCCCCTTGGTAACGCTTTCTGGTGTGTAGGATTGGATCTCCGTTGTTGCCCGCATGACACAGTGTTTAGAGGGTCAGCTCTAGAGTCGCGAGGTATGGAGTTGATCCTTACGTCACGGGTTTGAATCCCAATGTGGGAGGTTGAGACAGGTCCTTAGGACGAAACCGTGTAAACGGAGGTC